TTTTCTAGGAATCTGTGGTAGAGAGGGAGATAGCAACGTTATGTCATTACATCCGTGTTCTGAACAAAGGGTAAACTGTAAGTGTTTTAGTGGGTGCTCAGCAAAATAAAAGTGTGCAGTCTCGCATCAGGAAGTATGTGTATGATGTGTCTCCAAACTTCCACTAGAAAGCAATTTCACTCTTCAGATTTAAGCTCTGTAAAAAGTATAAAAATGTAAAAGCAGTAAAGCAGCAGGTGATATTTTCCCCTGATTTGTAAGGGGAAAAGTATTGAAACAATTTCTGAAAAGATAAATAGCAGTGTGACTTCTGATCTGTAGCAGAACATTTTGACTCTACTAAGTTAGTATAGTGCCCTCTTGTCTGAACTTTAGCTCAAAACTTGTAGGTTCAATGTAATTGATCTCTGTGCTATTTCAGCTTTTCCAAGAGCAAAGCATTAGTAAAATATCTAATAGCTAAGAGTTTTGAGACTCCCAATATTTCTGTGCCTTTTTTCTACACTGGTGTAGTGTGGATAGAAAGCTGCTGCAGAAGGCTTGCTGCTATTTTTATATAGGTAGGCAGGGGTCAAAAACTGACCTTGTCCTTTCATCTGTTTCCTACTACTTTTCTACAGAAAGTGATTTGTATCTGCTCTTTGTTCTTTTCCCTTTTTGGAGTTGCAGGTATGCCACGGACATCGCAGCTAAAATTTCCCAGCATTACCAGCTGTCATTTCAACTTGCACCAAAGTGCCATTTATGACCAATAAATTTAAGCGAAAGTCAGGAAAATTTTAAGAGAAAGTGAACCTGTTTCCCATTACACAGACTCAAAATTCTTGGTAACACACAGATCTCTTTTACAGGTTCCTTTCTTTCATTGTTGCTCTTTTAAAATGTAACTAACTCATGCTTCCAGCACTTTGGTGCTGTGTTTTAGAGGATATGACACAATTTGAAAACGATTCAGTTACTCCCTGTGGTTTTTAAAGTCACTGTTTAACATGTATTAACTGGTAATTGATTTCTGTTGTGGAACATCTTCATCTTGTGCAATTTGAGTATGTTAAAAATTAGACGAAAGGCTTTGTTTTATGCCTTATCACACTCCCATGCCAACCACCCGTCACCTCGGAAGTGACTTATAGCAACTACAATCAGAGATCATCACAATGATTATTCAAGTCTTTTATGAACTTCAAATTGCTCTGATTTCTGGGTACCTTTTGGAAAGTAGTTTTCCTAGAGTAAGGAGTGTGTGTGTGCAAATAAAACAGCATGCTTCTGTGAAGATTAGAAGGATCTGATTGTGTGAATGGTTCTTGTTTTCTATAGATCGTTTTCTAAGGAGCATCTCTGCATTTTATGAAAGTACTTTTTAATGTATTACAGCAATTTATGGCCTCATGTAGAAAAGTAAATGGTGACTATTAATGGCTTGGGCTAATAAGTCACTAAGTAGTATGGTTCAAACAGTATTAGTGGCTCTAATCTAGAGTTGTTCTGTTTTTGTTTTTTTCTTAGTTTGAGGAAAGAATAAATAGCTTTCTGGTCTTCTCTCTTTTCAGCATTTAACTATTTTGAGTTCAGCACTCACCTTGTTGCATTGATTGACTGCTTCTTCTTCGTTCATGGAGAAGAACTTCACTGCTGTCTTTATTTCATCTATTTAAATGTCTTTATTTCTGTGAACGACAACTTAGTATAATGCAGCTGTGTAACAGTGCTGTAATATTAAATGCAGCTTTTTTTGTTAAACTCCCATATATATTTTTAAATAGATTCTCCAAACTGTATAGTATAGTTGTTTTTGCTTTGTGATATTTAGTAAAGTTCAAAGCTGCTGTTGGAACCAATGAGAAACTTAGCACAGAATGTATACTAAAACAAAAAGAGATGCTGATGTATTTGACAGACATAGAATTTTGTGAATGAGGACTGTGTGGAACTTCACCATAGCTCTTGTTTGTCATGACAGCTTATGTGTTGTCAGTTTGTGGAAGAGTGAGTTTGGGTTCTTGCTTTAAATACAAGCTTTCTCCCTTCTTGGCAATAATTACATCAGCTGAATGTTGCCAGGTCATTCTTCAGATGCTGTTATTAGTATGTAATGAAGACTTTGCTGATTAATTCCTTGGGTAATGTCTAAAAGCAAAAATAAACCCCTATTTCATCTTCTGGAAGTGAACTGCTGGACGATCAATACACTTGCATGACTTAACCTTGAAATGTTTAATACCAGAAACTAGCCTAAGTCCCTCTGTAGTGTTAATTACTGAATTCTTAGGGAAGAACAGATACTGACAAAGTGTCTTCTTAACAAATGGTGGAACATAAAATAATTGGCTTGTTCTAAGAAATCTGTATCTCATTGCTTTTCCAAGCATTAGTGGGATATAGCCAGGTATCCCTCTACTTTTGCAATTGTTTGGTGACCATGTTTTAGTACAGGGACTGGGGAGGGACTGGAATCAATCTTTATCATTTATCTCCATTTCTGTGCTTTCTGTATGAGCTCTCAGCAGTTAATATATTCTTATTTTAAATTTTCCTTGCCTTGTATAAGATTCTTACAACCATCTTATTAGTATTCTTCAACACTTGGGCTTTCTTAAGATCAAAGGACCTGCCTGGTTTAGGCAGAGTAGCAAATGATGTTGGAGAAATTCTACAGTTTTAATTGCATTCACCTTACTGTTCTTTTTTTATTGAGAGTTCTGTTCAGAATTGGTTATGCAAAGCTCTTTTTTTTCCTGAAGTAAAGTTTGTTCATATGCATTAGGTTTAAGAACTGTTTTGCCCCCGTTTTCATAACACACATCTCAGAATGTAAAGAAAAGACCAGGGTGCTATCTTATCTATTTTTTTACTAGTGTTACTAAACAACAGTGTTCAGCTTCTGTAATGAGCCAGGAAAGGCTTGTATCTTGCAGACCTGTTAAAATATTGAGTGCTTGGCTGTGGGAATAATAGTTAAAGAGCAGACTAGAGAAATCTGAAATTAGGGAACAGGATTTGCAGGAGATACGTATGTCTTTCAGCAACTGCAAATGCAAAAATCAAGTGCTCTAGAAGGGTGGAGATCCTAAATGACAGTCACACAAAAGAACAAATCACAGTTTTATTTGCCTGAAAGGATAGAGTTTGACCTAATGATTGCTGGCCAATTAAGTAAGATACTTAATACTGGCATGCCTGACTTCTTGTATAAGTGAAAATACTAAGCTGAGCATGTGACTGACAGAAGTTGGAGAAGCATCTTTTTGCTTGTTTTCCCTGATAGCTCTTTGAAGCTACACTTAAAGAAGAGTGCAGCTTGTGGATTTTTATTGTGGAGCTTTAGTAAGACTTTTCAAACACTTGAATTTCAGAAGAATTTTCTTAAAATGAAGTTTCTTACTGTGCGGAACTTACAAATAAATAAAAACAGGGCAAACTTTTTGCATGGCATATTTCAAAATATAATAATTTGTAATTTGCAGGCTATAGTTTTGCTGAGCTTAAAAGCTGAAAAGAAATCTGCTTTTTTAAAATGTTTCATATTCTGTTTTTTCATTGTTTTTTGTGTGTGCTTTTACTTAGGTTTTTAGCAGAATACCATGATGATTTCTTCCCAGAATCTGCTTACGTAGCTGCCTGTGAAGCCTACTACAGTACTAAAAATCCCCGGGCAATCTACTGAAGCTATTAATAAAGATTGAATCCCTTCTATATGTAGCCTGTGACAATGCCGTTCTACCATGTGGCTACAAGATGAAGATGAAAAGAATTGAAACAACTCTGGAGTTTGAAATAGGGGAATATCTTCTGTGACGGCTGGATTACTTAGCAGGAACAAGGAACTTCTCAGAGAATGTGTATAGACTGCGTTGTGAATTGCTTAGGGATTTGAATCAGACTCTACTTCAGATGAATGAAGACGCCTCATTCTGTCTGCTAATGCATAGAACTGCATAGAACTATTAAAAAGGGAGGCAAAAGCAGATGCATTAGCAACAGGACATTGCAATGTTGTTTTAGCTTGATCCTTTCCAGCCTGAGTAATAAGACTTGACTACACAGTTACATGAAGAAAATTCATAACTAGTATCTTATGAATTTTTCCTTGCAAATTGCACTTCGTTTTGTGAAACTTATAAAAGATTGCTTAAGTTAAAGGATTATCTTGCTGTTTGGCTAGTATGACATCTGCCTCAAGAGTGACTTTGCTTAAATGAAAGATGTGTTGCTTACTTTGCATTTTGCAAAGATGTCTCTAGCTCTTGCCGTGGTAAGGCTATCAGAGTTCCAAGGAGAACATGCCTTGCCAGAGATACAACATCTATCTGGCTATAACAGATTTCCAGAGCCATTAAAAAAGAACAGATTTTCTACAAGTAAGTGGAAAAGTCAATAAAGTCATGGCAGTTCAACTGGCAAGTACACTTTTCCTAATAAAGAACATAATGACTGCTTCTTAAATGTGTGGTTTTGACTGTCTAAAATGTCTTATTTGTGCTTGATTAATATTTTTGAGATTAAGTATGCATAGCATTAGATGGGAGTACTGACAGTATAGGGAAGAAACCTTTCTGTAACATTGTTTTCTTTAAAAAGTCTTTAAAACTGGGTAAGGAAACATTCTTTAACACATCCCCTCTGGAAATAGGCATTCAATCAACTGATTTTATAGCATTAACGATACATTCAGTAGAATATAATCGAAATATTCTTGTCTTGAACATCATCAAAACCTTGTCCACTGCATAGAACTCTGTGCTTTAGAGTTCTGTTCCTTGTCAAGACAAACAGTGGGCAGAAACTTGGACTCCAAACTTACGGACTAGTGCCCTCTTCTCTCTGTAATCCTTCCTAGTTTACAAAACTTCTCTTAGAACACTTATGTAAAAGACAAAATATTTGACATAGATCTGGAGAAGCTAGTAGTTAGGAGGAATTTTACACATGTAAATGGAAAACTTAGTCTAAGAGGGCAAAGCAAATCTGAAATCTACTACTGACACTCTTTTCAGCACTGAGCTGGTTTGTTAGGCTTTTGAACTGAGAATTTAGGGATTACTTCAGCTTTAGCAATTTATGCTCTGTTCTTTAGAAAAGCTTATGTAAAGACTCTGTTGAATGTAATGGTTGCTAAACAAGCATTTTGCATGGATGCAAGCAAATTGGTCCTTATTTCTAAAGGTTAATGTTCAGTGGTACTCTTTTTATTGTGTTTCTGTAATACAAAAATTGTAGACTTTAGCCTTTCTCAAGTTACAGAAGTTTTGAGTCCAGCTGATTCTGCGTACTTCAAAATCCACTCTGCTGCAAGTGTGTTTCATTCTAGGCTTGGACTGTAATGTTTTATAAAGATGATTCAACAAAATTCCAGTGACAGTCTAATGAGACATTTGTCTTGGAATGCAGCCTGAAACTCCATCCTTAATCAGTTATAGTGTAGGAATGTTAGTGTGTATAATAGGAGAAATGTTTGTATCTGAGTACCAGAAAAGTTATGAAGAATTTAAATGTAATTGTCTGCCTGTTTAATTGTTGCAATGAGAGCTTCTGTTTGCAGTAGTTATTAATTGTCATTATTGACTCACTATTAGGTCACAATGATTCTCAAAAGAGAAGGCCCACTTAGCATAGCCTTGATGTGAACAAACTTGATAGTAAAATTCATTTGAAACTGTTATTGGAGATACTACAGACTGTCTTGCTTATAACAACCAAAAAGCTTTTCTCAAAAAAGTTTCTTCACCTTTTTATACTTCTTGACACTTTCAGTTGACATGACCTCCCAGTACACTATCTCTGAATTTATTAAGTCTTGTTTATATTCGGTTATGTCAATGTACATCTCTGACATTTCTCTTCCCTACTGTTACTTTTTTTCTTTAGCAGATTTTTTTTATTTTCATACGTTTGGGTGTGGTGTTTCTGTTTTTTGCTTGTTTTTTTCAGTTTTATTTTTAACTGGAGACAATGCAAGAAACTTGCAAAAACTTGAACCAGATTGGGGATCAGAGTAGTTCTTAATAGTCCTAAATTATATAGAAGCTTAACAGTTTAGCCTTAAAATTCACACTGAAGTATCCAGAATCTTAGGTGGACAGGGTAGTTTAATAGTGTAACCATACTTCTGTTTTCTTCTATAACTCTTTGAATGTCCTTAATCAGATTTTTTTTTAGTGGGATTCATAGCCATCCGAATGGATGAAAGAGGTTTCTGTGCTTAGCTCTTTGTCATTCTTTGATTGCTGCTTGTAGAGCTGCTCATATCAATGTTTTCTTACCTGATTCAGTCAGCATGGCTTAGTTTAGCTGAAGAAATACAAAAACCTGACTGAAACAGGCTTGCGAGTATTTCATGACCATCCTTGGCAGCAAGTTACTGCAGAGGAGGGGCTGAGCTGAGGAAGCAGCTTGAAAGACAGTAATGTTTAAACTGGCACAGCTGTAACACATGTGCCCTGGATCCAACTGGTGTATTTTGTGTATGCATTTGAGGAAGCTATACTAGTGTAATTATAGTGTGTACTAAAGCTGGTGAATTTCTGAAGGTAAGTTCTTGCATATACCTTCAAGAGTGGGCAGTGTCAGTGTATTAAGTATGGGGTAGGGTTTTGAATACTGCTGTCTGACCCTTCCTGTGGGAAGGCAAAGGAAAACTGAAGCCTGCTAGCTTTGATTTGTGTCAGCACTGAGGTATGTGAGTGATTTGACACTGGGCTATGAAAGTATGAAACTGAGTGAAGTGTTTTCAGATGACCAAAGAAGCTTGACAAAATGTAACCCTAATGTTCTTCAGCTTGATTTCTAGTTTTTTATTTTACTTGCACCTGTTATACTTCCAAAAACCCAGGTGGTGCTGTTCTTTCACGTGTGCCATTTAGAGCTGTTGCATCGCTTTTCATTTTGGTGCTGCGTTGCTATGTGTTTCAAACTCCACTGAACATTAACTCTGTTCCAAAGCTTATGCTTTTGTATAGTGCTATCTTTGACCGAGGTAATAGCACTTGGTGGCAAGTGTTTTGGATTTAAAATATGCTTTATGCCCCACTCTGAAAGAAAGCGCATGCAGATGTTGGGGTTTCAGTTAGCATTTGGTGTGAGCTAGCAGCATGTGTGGAGTCAGCTGCTGCGTCTGAGATGTTCAGTGTGAACTTGTCAGGCACCAGTGGGGGATCATGTTGCTCTTCATAATGCTGAGCAGTGTCTGCAGTCACAAGAGGAAATAAAAGGCTGATAGGAAATAAAAAGCGGTTACTGCTTTTCATGTTTCCATCATAATTGTTATCAAAGCATTTGGTAAAAACACTGGGGAGTTGGTTATTGGAGTTAAAGTACATACAAATATATAAAATCCTTAATTTCCTGAAAATTATCCATTGCTCCTCTGGAGTTGTAAGCGTGTCCCTCAGAAGCATTTGTACAGAAGTGAAAATGCAGGCTTTTCAGGGAGAAAAGAAGCAATGCATACATGTCATTACCTTAGCACCAAATCAAATCTTTCTTGTAGTAGTTAGCTGCACATAGCTTGGGCAGCCCTAAGTCTTAACCTCTAGCCAGCTGTGTTTGATCACTTCCTACTTGTTGGACTGTTGACTGAGCGAAAAAGCAAGCTTGTCCTCAGTGGATAAATTCTGCTTACTAATTTTAAGGAGAAAGTGCCAGATAATCACAATGTGAGCACACTTAGCTCAAATGCATCAAGAAGTGTATTTTTGTGCTTTGTTCCTGTGTACTGTAGCATCTCCTCTATGATATGACTTGATAACATTTAATAGCATTGTCAAGCCAAGTTACTTATTCTTCTGTGTAAATGCAATTCAGTGTAATGAGTTTCTCTGAAACAATGGTTCTTGATGGCGTGTTGCTTTCTTGATGTGTGACCATAATCAGTACAATCTGGATGTGTTTCCATTGTCATTTTTCCCCAGTTGTTTATGAGACTGTGTACTTGGAGGGATTGTCAAATTGTTCTATAGCTGCACCACTTTTCTGTAAGAAATGAATAAATACAGGTACTATACACATACAGCCAGAGAAATATGGAGAATACAGTTTCTACCTCAATTTTGGTAATTTTTGCTTTAAAAAATTTGGAGGATAAATCGCCTTGGAAAAATGCTATTAGCAATGACTAAGTGACAGATGCAGATGCTTACTAAAATCTAACTCAATGCATCCTCTCTATGGCATGCATTATGTATTTTGTCTTTTTAATTCATACAACAGCTGACTTTTTTTTGGATTGAGGCTCAAGATTATTGCAAACTGAGTAAAATCAGTGAAATATAAACATGTATCCAAAGATGAAAAGAAAAAAAAAAAAACACAACAGAAGAAATGTTTTGTTTTTTAAAGGCATACATCATGTTCCTTTGATTCATCAGTCAGTTGATCACATCACATAAAGTGGCTAACAATGTTAAAAAGAAAAGAAATTAATGAGATGCAAATTGATAAATCTTGGCACTAATAGAGACCTTTAACAGTGTCTGTCAAGAAGTGGGGTAAGTCCTCTACCTTTTTTTTTCTGATAGAAATGACTGAAAGCTTTGATTGAGAATACCTTTCTTTCACTGTTACAGGATACTGGATCTACTTCAGGGGAAAATAACCCAGGTATTAAAGTGTTGAATCATACAGTATGTTCCTGTGGATATTTCAGTGTGATGCCAAAGTGTATTTAACATCTGCATAGCAAAAAATGTAGAGATAAATGTGTTCAGTTTCTAGGAAAATGAACAGCAGGCATTTCCATCAAAGCAGTAGTGTACTTCTTGTGCCTCCAGTCTCTGTGAATGTTTTTCTAGTCTTTAATTATAATCTATTTATTTACAGATCTAGTATTTTAACTTATTAATCTCTAAACTCCTTGAAATAAAGATATCTTCTAAGTATTTTTTGGCTTTATTCCCTTTTTTCTTTCTTTACTTAGGTTTTCCTAGTAGTCTAGAAAATAACAAAATCATGCCTATGAGATTCATGTATGGGAGGGGAGAATGGTTCTAACAGATTTGTTTTGAGGTGTGATCATCAAATCCACCTTAAATGTAACAGGATTTTGTTGGTAGGTTCAAAAGTAAAGTCAGAACTGAAGAGATAAACTGTATGGTTCAAGTATATATCAAGTCTTAAAATAAAGTAGACAGAATTGCTTTTAGACTTATTTCTGTATGCATTTCTGTTTTCAACTTTAAATATGGTTCTCCAATTTGTCTTGATCACCTGATGGCAAGTACTGTAAATTAGGGTCATTCACTAGAGTGTAAAACTGATTAAATGTCAGCGTGAGTAATCAAAACATCAAATTTTTGTCATTAGTTTTAAACATGTGAAATGTTACCATCCCATGTCAGGAGCAAAGACATTTTGCCCTTCTTTTTAAAGTTTCTGAGAAATACAGTATATGACAAAATCTGCTGTCACGTAGCTGACTTGGCGAAGGTGTCAGTCTCAAGGGAACAGATATTTGAGGTAGCAAATAATAGCACTTGCTGACATCTTTATCCAGAGAGAAGGTTCTTGAGTAAGGGTTGGTGTATAGATCTGCACGTGTGCTGTGGGAGACTCCTCAAATGGAACCAGCCGTTGCATCTCATCCCTGTATTTTAATGATACAGGTGCAGAGAATGGAAGCATAGCTGATATTTAGTGAGTTTTCACTGCTCGCAGCCTTCTGTTTTGTAGGCTGCTGACTTGAGAAATCTGAAGTAGTTCAGTTGTGTTTAGGTTTCACTTGCATGACTGTGTAGGAAGTAGATTTTACTAATTGTTTTTAGTCAGAATGAAGAGGAATTTATTTTCTGTTGCTGTGACTGGTGCAATGATGTAACTTGGCATTGCATTTGTGCATTTCTCTAAAAGAAATATAGAATTGTCTATTAGAAACACTTGAGTAGTATCTAATTGGGTGTTTCGTAAGGATTTTGCTTACTGGCAGATGGATGATATGACACATGTAACGTATATGCAGTATTGCCTACTGTAGGCATTAAAATAATGAGTCAGACCCTTAAAAGTCTTGAGAGTGATTAAGAAAATGTGAAGATTAACTCCTGTTCTTTGAGTCCCTAGGGTAACGTGAGTCAGGCTTACAGCAAGAATTGCTCAAGACTACAAAAAACAAAGTTGAGTTTTTCTGCTAAAACACGTGTTTTAGAGCCGGGGCTTTAGCGGAGGAAAAAAATAAAACACCAACCCACAACACAAAACCTTGCAAGACTGGCAATAAAATGATGATTTGGCAATGCTCTAATAGAACAGGATGCTATTAATCTGAAAATAATCAGAGACTGAATTTATTTGCGAACATCTGTGAGGACATAACACAAGCCTCAGATAGCAAGGTTTTCCGGGTAGGGCAGTTATATCTGTTAATCTACTAAACAGTCTGCCTTTGCCAAAGGCATAAATCTAAATTTGTGGATTCAATTTTTTTACTTGTTTGGAATGACTATTAATAAAATGAGAAATAAATTGCTTACCATAGTAACAGAATTGCCTGTGCATGATGATGAAGCTGGTGAAACTCTATCGGAAGAAAACAAGAAGCAAGATGTGGATTCCACTGCATGTGCAAGAGTAATATGTTGCTTATGTTGTTAAACCCATTTGTTGATTTATTTGTCTCTCTCTGGCTACAACATAAGAAACAACAAGTTGTCACTTTTGCCTTAGTCCCAG